AGCTATTTAATGCTAGTTAACTTTCTAACTTGTGATAACAGTCAACAGGGAATTTCAGGCTCGCTGTAACGTTGGTCACTAAGCAGCATAAAGTAAATATAGTGATGTAGAAGTACAAGATTAATAAAAATCAATAGGCTATAGGTTAATACTAATGTTAGCTACATTAGCCAGACTGGTAAACTGTAGCTGGATGCTAAGTGGGCCCTCCCTCATTTTATTAACTAATCTTACTGTAAATGTCACTGGTTCCCAACCTTTTTCCTTAAGGGACCCCTTTTCTATCATTTTAAACTGATGACTCCTGCTTAAGCGACATATTTTATGGATATTTCATATTATATTCAAAACTGTTCAACTAACCCAAACAGTGAACTGAGTAACTGAAAGAAGTTTGTGTAAAACATGTGATTTGGATTAATTTTGAGCAGCTTATTTTCCTGTTTAGGGAACTTTTTATGTTTTCTGTCTGTATTATGTAGCCTATTTCTTTTTAATGATTTTTAACAATTATACAGACTTAATATGCTTCTTTTTTTCAATGTTTTCTTGTCCCTGATGCTTGGCCATTGTTCTATTATACACTTTACATGAACTTTAGTACACATAAGTGATCCAAATGCTGACATATAGGTCTGTATATGTTCTGTATTGTTTTCTTACACCCCTTAAAATCAAGAAGGCCTCGTCATCCCATATGAAGTTTTGGTGACCCCAAATGGGGGGCCCGACCCCCAGGTTGGGAGGCGCTATTATATGTAAGCTTTTCTTTGTATCAATATTGTTTTTATTTCTTAGATTGCAGAGAAATTGTACTTTTTTTAAGGTACTTTATAAAGTATAAAAGAGTATTTTATCATAAAGTACCCCAAAAAAGTACATAAAATACTTCAAGACTTAAAAACACTTTTTTTTAATGTTTGCAAATCGAACAATTAAAGCAGATGCCGTTGAGAGAAGAAAGAGACTAAGAAAGCGAAAACAATGTGCAAACAATTGGCCCAAGCCCCTGATCGTAATTACCACAGAATTGTGGTCAGTTTGAGTGCAACCTAATTGAATAATGGTCATATCAGTGAACAAGTGGGAGTGTGGAGTGATTTACCGCACGGAGAAGCGTGCTTATCTTTCCCTCTGTCCCATGCAGGAAACACTGGGATGTCACCAGGCAGATTAAAAGCTTGGCACAGCTGATACGGAGCGCTCAAAATGGATGGGGTGGGGACCTCTGACTGCTGTGTGAGGGGTTTTGTAGGGGAGGAGACAGGCGGCGGTGTGACCTTATGAGTCCTGTTTGGCAGGGATTCATTCAAAATCTGGGAATTCCACTGGAAGTTAAGAGGGGAAAAAAGATGTAACATCATGTAACTTGAATGGAATTTTGAACAGTAAGCATATCTTTGGCTCAGCGTCTGCCAAGCCATGTTTTCTTTTTTTTTTTATCTTTTTTGAGCTCACATTAAACTTGCCCTCAAAGGAAAACTGGAATTTACCAACATTCCTCTATATGTTTAGCAATTCTGGAAGAATGGAGGATTTTTTTGGGTGCAAGAAGTTCAAAAAGAGAGATAATATACGCAGGATCAGCTGCCGTGCTTTTTAATCAGAGCGAATGTTTAAAAGAACTGCTGTTGTTCACAGTGCAGCTGTATCGCTCATAATTGAATTCCTGACAGCTGCGATGTTTGGAATTTTAACCAGTTCTTACGAGGGCCCACAAAACGAGCCGGGCGTTTCAGCTACGGAGGCTAAACGTGGCACAACATCAGAGCAAACCTGCTGTCATTTTCTATGTAGCCACCAATGTATTTCTGCCCTTTTAAGCCGGGCGCTGACTGGGGCTAGCTAGAGAGACTCTTTGCCTCTCGAATTGAGGCAATATATGCAGACTGAAGAGAGGTGCTTGATGGGAACACAGGCAGACAGATCTGGAGGAGCAGCTGCACGGAGGACGCTGGGCCAAATATAGAAAGGGGACAAGGGCCAAAACATATCACACATTTTTTCCCATTAACAGCATAGGTTTGAATCTAACTTGGCGCCAATTAGTTGTAGTATAGGCGCAAAGTATTTAAAAATAGAGCATGGCAGGGGTGACAATGCACCCGGAACGCAGAGACAGATATCTCTGTCATGGCGGCGTGTGATTTCACGTGTAATCATGTGAAGGAAAAATAACAGTATTCATATCGCCAGCTGGTTCGTTATAACTCTGTGACGTGGAAGGTTATGTGACAAATGGAGCTTCAGTCATTTGTTGCTATTACCTGTCATGCTACTTTGAGTGCGGGGCCTCAGCTCGTGGGGGGGTCTATTTTCATTCTGATTTCGGTATGTTTGGCAGGATCTGTGCCGCTGTATCAGTGCGACCAGCCGTTTTTTCCTTTTCCATTTTTAACAGCTTGGTTTCAACATTTTCTGGTCTCTTATCTCTAGAGTGAAGGGCTGGAATGAGGGGCATGCAGGCTTCGGGCCTACCTGTTTACTTTGAGGGCTTCCTCCATTGTCCCCCAACCCCCCCCACCAGTTTCCTTTGAAGGATTTTTCACATTTTTGTGCTCGTTGTTGTTTTGGGAACAGGTCATGAGCTAGGCACATGGGAGTCTCCTGTGGCATTCCTGAATCTCTGTCTGGTCAGGCTCAGCAGGAATTCTTTCCTACCGCACATATCGTCTCTTTGGTACACACCTGAGATATTTTTACAGCCGTAAACTAAAGAGTATAACAGAGTGTCATCACTTTATCCTTTTATACTGAGCTGAAACCTGATAACTTTTATATATTCCTTTGATTCCCTAACTTCAGCCTCAGGTTTACTGTGGAATGAAGTTATCCGTTGTTGACTTAATCCCTTTCGCTACAGAAATAGCCTCAGTTTTGGTAACTGTTATGCAACTCGTGATATGGTTAAGCATATACATGACTGGCTAATTCCCCCCCCGTAATACGGTTCAACCTAATCTACTGGACTCCACTACCCTTCTAAACTTAATTGTATTTCTGGGACGAGCGTGTGTATTTTTGTCTGTAAGAGTGTCAACATGTGTTTGCTATTAAAGGAATGTTAAGGAATGATATTTTTAAATGTCTTTTTTTATACTAAGATGTACTGTCTGTGGTTAGATCACACAGTCTCAATCTCCAAAAACAACTCTCTGATATAACTTCTTTGTCCATCAATCTGATTTCTCATTATTGATAGGTACTGAGGTAAATGTTCACTTCTCTCAAGAGCCTTCCTCAAAAGGACCTGCTAATGGAGAGCCCCTTAATCCTTATTATCTAAAGAGGTCCTCAATGAGATTACACACCTTGCACGAATATTACAACTGGACAACAATTTACCATCTGCTGCTCTCATTTTAATTCGTATAACCTTCTGCAGGTGCGGGTTGTGCTCTTATTTAGGCCTTAAAAAAAAGCTAAGCACAAGTACAAAAACATTAATAAAATGCTTTGTTGTACGTTAATATAAAATCACTATAAAAACTAGTGTCAATTAAACGTCCTTTAAGAACACAAAGGATTTCCACTTGTATCTCATTGTTAAAGTGTTTTTATTTATTTAGTATTTGTTCTATACAAATGTGCTTCAGGTCTATTTAACATATAATTAAAGTATCTCAGGTCCTTATCCCACCTCTTCGCCCTGCTATGACAGCTTTATATCCAACTGTGTGACACACCTTTCTGAAGAGGATTTCCAAGCACTGCACTTGCAGTGGAGATTAACTTTGAGCAAAGATTAAGCAAATTAACCATGATGGAGTCTCCCGAAATAAACTGTTGCTGTGCAGTTAGTTCAACAGCAGTCATCATGTAGAGCACGGAATAACATTTCATGGATCCTTTCAAAGCGGTTGGGAATTTTATGATGCCGACATAGGTGAGTTCACTTAAAAATCTGGCAATTTTGTTTTGTATGCGTTCACTGCGTTGAACTTGTTTACTGCCTCCAGTTATAATCTGTGGTTATGTGTTACACCAGCATTAGAAAGGCCATAAACATACATTTGAACTAGATCTGATTCATTAACAATTACTACAAATATTTCACCCTGAATGTGTTATAAATAATAATTTCATGTTGGTCTATTGTCAAATAATACCAAAACTGCTACTAGTACTAACTACTAATACTAAATAATACATCTGAAATTGCTTTGATCAACTTTTGAAATTAAATGACTTTTTTAAATCACATTTAATAAAATCTGTTTTAATGAATAATGTTCTATAATTTATCACTTAGATTTTCATGTGAAATGCAACAACAATTTTGCTATAAATGTGTAAAAATCTTGATTTGAATGTTTTGAGACCAATTAGTTCTGATACAACAGACGACTTCTGTTTCATAAAGCCTATAAATTAAATTCTATGTTAATGTATGCATTTTCTATATTAAAAACTTAATACTGAAGTGTGGTATAACACGATTCACATAACCTAATAATTATGATAAAATAAATACTAGCGACAGAGAAGAATCTGTCACACATTTCTCCATGGCTTTTTCTGTATCTGTATCTACTGTGTTGTTGAAACTCAGGTAATCAAATAATTGAAAATGCCATTCATGTGGCAGGTTTCCTAGAATCGAGGTCATGTTACCTGATGGCCACAGTCGTACGAAGTAAACAACATATGTTTGGAAGACGTCATTCAGCTGTTTATACATTACACATTATTTAGTTGTCTTGAACGTGTTGTTATGTTTGTGTGTCAACCCAACTGCAGGAGCCTTTTTCTTTGTATACAAAAATTATTGGTTTTTGTGAAGATTATTGTTTACCGTAAAAACAAATATTATTGTTTACCATAAAAACAAAGATTATTGTTTACAGTTAATTGATTCTGAGGAGAAAGCTTTGCTGATAAGAAATAAAAAACCTTGTTATTTCATCATTTACTTTGTGATTTATTATACAGAACATCAACTAAATATCTAATTCTTTATCTTTTTCTCCCCTTCCAGCAAATCAACAATGATAAATGAGATGGGCCTTCTGAGGATCCTCCCTGATCAGTCATCAGGGAGTGGGCACTCCTGTGGCACCCCACGCCACCCAAGCATCATCGACCCAATTCTATCAAAGCGCGTCTGCTTCTACAAAAGTGGAGACCCTCAGTTCAATGGTCTGCGCATGGTCATCAACAACCGCACCTTTAAAACATTCGATGCGCTCCTGGACAGTCTCTCTAAAAAGGTTCCCCTGCCATTTGGGGTGAGGAACATTACCACTCCTCGGGGGGTTCATGCAGTCTATACTTTGGATGAACTGGAGGATGGGAAATCCTACATCTGCTCTGACAGCCGTAAGGTAAAACCTATCAACCTGGCCATGGCGAGGAAGAAGCCGCCGCCCTGGTACCATGCCAGGCCTCTTAGCTCCCGCCGTCGGACTGTACAGCAGGCCAGGTTTTTCCCCGGCCAGAACCTCCACAAGAACGAACTGGTGGTTGTGCGCACACCGAAGAGGCTACTGGTTTTTCGCAATGGTGACCCTACCGTAAAACACACTGTGGTGGTTCACAAGAGGACTACGCCGACTTTTCAGTCCATCCTGGAATATATTTCAGAGCTGCTGCTGTTTCATGTGGTGAAATTACACACATCTGATGGCAGACGTGTGAGTGTTCTCCTCTGTCAATACAACATGGAACATGGAATTAGTTAAATAAAATAAAAACAAGCACTATAGTGACAAGATACTAAAAAACACTACACAGTAACTTCACTTTTAATGCAGAAAAATCAAAGAAAACTGAAAGCATGTTAACAAACTGAATGATAGAGCCATTAAAGCCCAAACTGATATCTAAAAGCACACTATATTTGAACAGATAGGTAGAGTGCAAAAATGACCATTTTCTATTTTAAAATCCTTCAAGAATACATGGACATTCCCCTGATGTTCAGATACATAGGTTGTGGTTGGTGTTAGTGACCAATAAAAGACTGGTTTAAACCTTGTCTGTAAATAACCGTCACATGAGGAGAGAAAGTGTTAAGCTCCTTTAGCAACTCACCCTAATACATAGAAAGGCATTCTTGGATACTGTAATGTAAGGCTAATGGGCCAAGCATCTATTGTATATTCAGTTCATTATTTAAAGAAATAATTTAATCTTGTCAGACATGTTGATACATGCATTTAATTTGCAATTATGTATAATTACTCCCTAACATATTTTGGTTTAATATTTTTTTCCCCCTATTCTACTTATTATATCTAGTGCTAACACAGTCAAATGTCATTAGAGTGATAAAAACCTTATTTTTTTCTACTGTCTACCGCAGGTGGATGGTCTTGCAGGCTTAATACTGTGTTCTGGCATCATAGTGGCTGCAGGCAGGGAGCCATTCAGGCCTGCAAACTACAATGCACAGAAATCACCAGCTCCAACATTGTTGCCTACAAAACGAATGGGTCGCAGAAGACTAAACCGTAAGTTTATATGAGAATTTTTTTTTTGATGGATCTCTATACAATCCTTTTGTTTTATTTAGTTGACGAGAACATTCTCATTAATGAACCCGTAACTGTATGACACATACGGTGTGTAGTAATCTACCTGCTCTCATGGGATGAAGATTGGGAAAGTGCTGAGGCAGTGATATTATGCATAATACCGTGGATGACCTACATGCACTGTCTATGTGGTGTATATGTCAGCTATTGTTCTTCATGAGTTGTAAATAGTTTTACTATCTTTCTAACTTTTCTTTTTTCTCTTTTTTATCCTTTCATGCTTCCTGGATTTCCTCTTCAATCCTTGCCTGAAATATTTGGAAATTTTTTACTTACATCTCTACCTTTTTTATACCTGACTGGCTCTTTTAACCTACTGAAAAGGTAAAAAGAAGTCTCTATCATATACTTCAAGGTCAAGAAAATTCTCCCCGTCATCTGAGAGGTACATCGTGAATCAGATCCATAACTCTATTGCAGAGAGTTCTTGCGACCTACCCACTAACCCCACAAACTCTGTTGAATTGGAGTTGGGTCATAAATTAAAGTCAGTAGCAGAAACTGAGGGTGACACCTGCCTTGATGATGGAGCTGGAGGGCAGGACAGCTTGCTGCCCACAGACGACGACATTGAGAAGTCCTTTCGAGTGAACCAAGATGGTAGCATGACAGTGGAGATGAGGGTGCGGCTTACAATCAAGGAAGAGGAAACCATCCATTGGACGACCACCCTGACACGCTCAAGTGTAGCCAATCAGCTTAATGCAAGCAGTTTACCGGAGTCTGAGGCAGAACAGGAGATCGGCTCTCTAAAATCAGACTCACTGGATTTACAAAGTCCTGCTGCCTCCATCGACACCATCAACAAGGATAAAACTGAGGATAACAATGACGAAGATCCACCATCACTAGGCAACGGAGCTTTCAGTGAGAGTAACAATGAAGAAGATTATGTCAAAGCTCAGACAGACGTGATGTCCCCTAGGAGAGCTCCTACACCAGGGCACAAGCAAATTAGAAAAAAACAAGCCTCTATGGAGAGCATAAAATCGGTGAAGGCAGAGGGGATTCAAGAAGGTATGGTTGGTTCTTACTCCTACAGAGAGCAGACAGAACATGGAGCCATGACAGAGAAGTATTGCATGGTCAAACAGAGTAGCACTAAACCAGTGCCCAAACCTAGACAATTTTGCTCTGTGGATTCCTACAATGTAAACAGCAGAAATATATCCACATTCAAATCTGAGATGACTGAAATGCTACAGATTGAATCCAGCGGAGAGGAGGTCACTGAAACTGTCTTACACATATATGAACAGCACACCTGCCAGGATAATTTCTTTGCAAACCTTTGTGCACAGGGTACGTCTGCTCCAGGGTTTCCGTTTTGCAGGCCAGCTACCTCAGGAACTGGACAGTTCTCCAATAATGAGTTTGAACCCGAGCTCTGTAGACCATCAACAGCTTCTGAATCAATTAGCATCTGGAGGGCTGAGAGCATGTCAGTAACATCTGATTTAACATTGCCCTCACTGAAGACTGGTGCAGTTCAAGCAACAAAAGCTCAGCAACAATTCCCAAAGCCCACTAAAGGCAAAGACAAGACCCAACAAAGAGAGGTCAATATCGATAAGAGAATATCCTCGAAACCCAAAGTGGTCAACAAACGCCTTCATCGGCTTAAGTCACCAGGAAAAAGACAAAAAGAAAATTCTGCAGAAGCAACCGAGAACCGTAAGAAAGCAAAAACTTTCTCCAGTGCTGGGTTCATTAAGAAAATATATGGGAATAAATCTAAATCAGCAAAAAGCATGATGAAGCTTAAAAAGGGACCAACACAAAATGGATATGGGGATGTTACAACAAAGAATTCACAACAGTGGGATAATACAATAAAATGTATTCTCAAAGACCCAAATATACCATCAGCACAGAAAGAAAATACAAATGAGATAGTTTCTGAATGTTGCAGGCTGAATGTTGCCCCCAATGAATTAAGCCAATCACGGGCAATACTGACACGTCAGACATCAGTGCATCAGGAGAAAAAGAACGAAAACGAGTCCTATGATGTTAGTCAAAGCATGGCACTGCCTCCTTTTGACTCCTCTAGCTCTGTTACTAATGAATATGTGGAAAACTGGCTAGAGAAAGCCCATCTTAACCCCACAGCCTTGCTAGATGAGGAAAGTAAAAAATCTGAAGCAGTTAATCTTGTACAGACAGAAAACGGCAGGTGTGGAAAGTCTGAAAATGAGGATGGCTTGATGATTGTGGCAGAGAAGGTAAAGTGTTCGAAGGAGACATCAGAAATACAAACATGTCAAACTCTCAAAACTAACCTACTGCCTGAGAATGTGCAACGAGGTTCTGTCAAACAAAGAATCAAATCTTTTGAAAACAAATCGAGTCCATCAATGGAGAAAACCACAGTCAATCAGCAAGTCGCCCCTAGTCATACAACCACTACAAACACAGAAAACTACAATAGTTTAGCTCAGAATAATATAGAAGAAATAAAGCCTCTCTCAAATAGTTACTGTTCTGAAGTGATTCCACAAACAAGGAAGACCTCAACAGAAATGCCACCAGGCAGTGAAGTGGAAAATAAATCAAGTCCAATCAAAATCTCACTTCAAAAAGCAACACCTTCCAATACACTTTCAATGGAGCTACCACCACCACCACCACCTGCTGAAAACACAGAGCTATCCAACAATGAATATTGTGTGATGGATGCATCCTCAGTGGTCAGCAGCACATTATACAGGTTATCATCAATGAGCAGTCAAATGTCAGATACTCATCCATTACCCATCAGTCCTACATCTGACAAGGCCATTTCACCTACAGACCACACAATGGAAATGACAACATCAATTCAGACTGACATTCCTTCCACACTGGGGGAAGCACCATTACCAAGAACTCCATCTATTAAAAGGGCCCCTTTGGTCAGTAATCTGTCCCTTGACAGGAAAATGTCTCTCAGAAAGGCTCATCTGGATAAATATACTTTATGTAGTGATGCCACTTCAGAGACAACCACATCAACTACTCCCATCAACATAGTGGCTGATAATGTGTTGCCAAACAGCAACTGTCCAACAAGGACACAACAGCCCAGGGAAATGCCGCGAGAAGAAAGACAGCAATCAAACAGCATGTTAGATTTGAAATATAGTCTATCATGTTGTACTTCTCCTACTCCTGCTAGTTTAACATCTGAAGAGAGAATGTCATCAGCCAGTATTCCATCAAGTGAGGCTCCAACACCGAGTGATCTTTCATTTAAAGAGACAAAAACAAATGAAACAGCACTTTTAACTCAAAAAGAGGCATCATCACCTGAACTCTTGGTGAAAAAAGTAAAAATTATGAGCACTCCATCTCCAGAGAGAAAACCCCAACCGAAGAAATTCTCGTCTGAGCTTCCTCATTACTCTCCAAAATTATCAGCAATACATAACCATCCTCCAGATAAAACTGTGTCACCAAATATTGGAATACAAAAACATGCAACACCAAATGCTAGCCCCTCCACTGAGAGAAAGCACACACTTTACAAACCTAAATTTCAAAAGAGACATTCTCCATATTCTCAGTCTCTGGACATGGTGTCACCGCCTGTCAGACGCAAGTCAAATAGAAAGTTGCTCTCTAGTAATCTCTCCTCAGACAATGCATCAGAGCCGATAACTAAGACACAAAGGAAAACATCATCTGAAAGAAAGCATCTACAAACAGCACAGTCAATAAAACCAGCAACTGAACTGGACAAACCACTAACTTGTCACACTCTTGTGCCACTGGAAGCTGATCAAAGTGATGACAATAAGGTGAATAAGACAGATGACCTTATAACAGCAGGTCAAGACAAATCCATGACAGAAACACAAATAATGCCACAGCCATTAACAATCGCAAATCAGCCAAACATGAAACCCGTGCTTGAGGAGATTTGCTACTCAATAAAGTCAATTAGACAAATCACACAGAACAAACGACCATCATGTCTAGAAAAGTCCAACAGCCTGCCTGACTTCTCTTCTCATGTGGCCTCTACATTTGGCTCATCATCTAAAGCTCTCCTTGCTTTCTTGTCCGTCATGACCCTAAAAGAAGGCATAACTAACCAAAATATGGATGAGCTGAATGCAAACAATGTCAGCTGCTCTGAGGCTTTAAAAATGATTGATTCTCTCAGAGAAATTGCAAGCATTGAGGATTCTGACAAGTTAAAAGTTAGTTTGTCAAATTTACAGAAGTCAGCTTCAAAGCAGCTCCTGCAAAGTTGGAAGGGCTTTCAGGAACTCAGTGACAAATGTCGAAGCTCAACACCAAAAAGTTCAGAGCAAGAACTTGTTACCGAGGCAAGTCCTGAAAGCGACTGTGGCATTGATGAAAATGTTATTGATGAGATCATGGATAACCTTGACATACCTGATAAGCTCAAGGAGGAATTGGCCTCTCTTTCAGTGGGTGTCAAAAGTGACAGTGACGATGAGGAAGAGATTATTGAGAAAGTGGAACTGTCACCAGAAGATAACGGTAATGCCAAGATATCCCCTTTCTCCACAGAAGATGTTGTTAATGGGAGGGATGTCACTCAAGATGAGAAAGCTAATGTTGATGTGAGCTCCATCATTAAAAAATTTACAGACATTTACCAGCCAAAACAATCCAGCATGGGTAGTATAACAGAAAAGCACAACCCTAAAGACAAGGACAGCAAATATGGGCAGAATGGTGTGGCCACATGTCCACCAGCTGAACCAAATAATGAACAGATACCTGACAAAAGGCAGCTTTATAGTGCAGTACTGTTTGTACAAGAGAATGGGGAGGGTATGCACTCATGTAAGGATGCAGGAAGTCCAGAAAATCAGGAAGAACAAAATCAGCAGCAATGCCACGATGAAGACAAATCAAACATGAATGGAGTGGTCAGCAGCAAGAAAAAACTTGAACAAGACAGTTGTACCTCTGA